CTCCCATTGACTCTACATGCATCCGAAATGCCCCAAAAATCACTCAATTCATCTAAATCATCAAGAATTACTCATAAGCACACAAATGAATCAAATGAGGATACTTCGGACAAAATTATAACAAATAACAAGGAAAATAAGCTTAAATGCAATGTGAAATTATAAACTTTTAGACTCTTATCATGTTCACCAATCATTGTAATCTTTGGATTGAAGTCTAACGTTATTGTGCCATTGTCTTGAATGTTCCTTTCATGTCTATTCTTGAAATCCTTCGATTGAATCTCTTGTTGTAAGCTTGTACAAATGTTGTACTCTATTGATTCTTCTTGATTGAGTTATTGTTGAGCCTCAAGTATCTATGTCGATGACTATGTGTTTGTGATTGAAAGCTGGCGGTGAGCTTTGCTCAAATGAAAGGGGTTATATATATATATATATATATATATATATATATATATATATATATATATATATATATATATATATATATATATATATATATCATGATCATGATCATTATGAAAAGTTGGCGGCAAGCAGGCGGTAAAGCAGGCGGGGAGCATTGGCTCCAGGAGGAATAAGGTTGGACTGGTTGTACAGGGTGGCCTGGAGGTACAGGTTGGAACTGAAATAAGGATGGAGCGGTGTAAAGGTTGGAACTTGGTATAAGGTTGGAACTTGGAAACGGTCATTGATTGTGATCCTTGACTTTCATTTGCTTATGAGCATGTATTGATGTTTACCTTTTGATTGATATTGATTATCGTATCTCGATGCTTATTCTGTTGTCCTTTGATTGATATTGGTTATCATATCTTGTTGATTATTTTGTTGTCCTTATCATTGTATTGATCTATTGATTTATCGTTTGGTGGTCGGGTGATTGAGAGTGTTCTATGATGAGTTATATGTCGCCTCTAGTCCTTGCTTTAAAGCCAGTGTTGCTAAGACTATATCTATGTATTCCAAGTCTCAAATGATTTTCTTATATCTATACTATATTGTACTCAACGCGTAGTGGTGGGTTACTTAGCATTATTCGCTAACGGGTGATACCCCTTATGTTTTACAAGTACATAGTAGTTCGGTCTTGAGCGCACTAGAAGAGGATGATGTTTAGCGTATCCTTCCTTTACTCTTAGCCTAGACTTGTGGCCTGTGTGCCCTAAACGTTAAACTTGTGGATTTTATGTTGGTTTTGAAATTTAGTACCTTGGTTTTAACCTGTGCATCTAACAATTAGTAGATGTGGCATAGCATTTCCCGGTTGACTAATTAGCTTCCGCGACTTTTTAATACTCAATGTTTGGTTTAAATCTCTATCTCTAAGCTTTAATTGTCTTTGTTTAGTACGTAAAATCGGGGGTGTTACAAAGACAGCTACCAACTGTTCAGCGCGAACAGCCGGTGGTTGTTTTTTATTTTTTTATTTAATTAATTTATTTATTTATAATAAATAATATTTTTAATTTTTAATAGATAAAAAATATTTGTTTTAAAAAATAAAATAAAAAAGGACACGTGTCAACATCACATAGATTTACTTGATAAACAAGTCAATTTGGACTTAATTAAACAAGTTTAGCGATTTTCGAGCAAATGTTGTCTACTCGGATTTTAGAGACTGCCAGTTTCTTAGATTTAGCTGTTTAAAATTGAAGCAGTATCTATCTTTAATTATTGATGAAATAATTGAACTTTATCTTTTGTGATAATGAAATCTGAAGTTTTAAAATTTGGAAGTAGTATCTAAAGAACATTTTCTGCTTCCAAAAAAAAAAAATCTAAAGAACATTTTTCATTCCAAAAGACTAGTTCAATAGGTTGAATAATCACTCAAGATTAAGTTCCACTTCACGGCACAATTTCTTCTGGAGTTGAGTGAGATCATATCAAAAGAGGTAAGGTTGATTTGAAAATAGTTTATGTTGGTCCTCAGGTTGAGGACTTAACCAATTCAATGAATTTTTGAAACATTTAGATGCCTTATGAGTTATGACTATATAGTACTGATTGAGTATCTACTTGTCTCTTTCCCTATTGTCTCAGTAGAGTAGATACTGGGAGAGGACATGTCACTCATCTGAAATGGATTTGTTTTTTATGCTATTTTTATGTTGTTTTATGTTGTTTTCTGAATGCCATTAATCCAATTTAATGTTTAGAACTTCTTTAGTGTCTTTTACTTCTAAGGGTTTGTGTGTGTGTGTGTGTGTGTGTGTATATATATATATATATATATATATATATATATATATATATATATATATATATATATATATATATATATATCTACTATACTAATAAGAGCCCAAGAGAGTTAGGCCTACAATGGGTAGAAAAAATGGCGGTCAAAATTTGTAATCAAATGAATGGCTCAGATTGATCAGATTTTAATTTTTCCTTAAGATTTCCTAATTTATCCTTAATGAATATGATTATCCGTTAACTTTTCCGTTAAATATTATCTTTTTCGTTAATTTCGGTTAGTTCACCGTTAACTTACTCATTGATTTCAAAAAGAAAGGTCTTAGGTTCGAACCCCATTCCAATCAAAATTGGCATAATTAGTACTCTATTTTACTCTTATTAAATTTAATAATAATTTAGTAGCGACAACAAAAAATAATACATATGCATTTCTTTAATTTAGAATTATGTGTCTACAATGTCTGTATTCAAAAAAAAATTATTCATTATCAATAAATTAAATAAGAAAAATAATTTCATTAGTTATATTGTATTTATTTATTTTTCTCCAATATAAAAATTCTTTACATTCAAATCCATCAATTGATTATATTCGCTACATTGTCTCTACAATATCTTTATTTAAAAAAAAATATTCATTATCAATAAATTAATTAAGAGAAATAATTTTATTAGCTATATTGTTTTTATATTTCTCTAATGTAAAAATTCTTTACATTCAAATTCATCAATTGATTATATTCGCTACATTGTCTAATATCTTTTTTTGTGCACTATTTTTAAATTAAATATCAAAGTTATAATACAAAATAATGCTATATATTTATTTACCAACTATTTTATTAATACCATGAAAAAATTTTAAAAAATATAATTAATAAAAGCCAATCATATTAACTACTTGAGGGATTTGTTGACAAAGAGATTATTCAAATCACACAACAAATTGAAGTGAGAACTACCTCGCAATGTCCTTGTTTGACAATCAGCAGTTAGCGGTTAGCGTTAATGGATTATATTAGCGAATTTGACCAGCAAATTATATCAACAGTTGGCAAAAAGATATTTGAAAAAGCGAATTTGACCAGCGAATTATATCAACGGTTAGGGCTGAGCATAATCCGAAGAAACCGAAAAAACCGGCCGAACCGCGAACCGAAATAGACCAACCGAACCGAACCGATATCCGAGTTGCAAAACCGAACCGACACCTAAAACAACGTCGGTTTACGGAGTTCGGATAGGGTGGGTTAAAAATTCACCCGACCCGTCCGAATACCCGATAAAAGCTAGGGTTGCGTATGTAGATAGCAATACGACGTCGTTTAGGCTTAGTATATATATATGTTGTTACTCCTAACTCCACACTTGCGCAGTCAGTCTCTTGATTCCTTTCTCTTGCTAGGGTTTCCAGACGAGAGCTTCTCTTCTGAGTCTTCTCTCATTCTCTGAGACTCTCAGTTCTCTCTGGTTCTCTGCGCAGTCTCACACTCTCACCTTGCGATTTTAGTCCTCACTCCTCAGTTCTCTCTAGTCTTTCTGTACTAGACAAAGACTACCTTCTTTGTAGTGTATACTCTCCTTGTCCGGTTGGTTCTGTTGGTCACTGGTGGAAGCCCTCATGCCCTGACTGGTGTAGTGGTGCTGTGGTGGTCGTGGACGTGGTGCTGTGGTGGACTACTGGTGTCGTCGAGACGTCGACTTCCAGTAAACTGAAGGCCTGAAGGCTGAAGCCCTCGTTCTCCGGGGTATTTGTGAGAAAAGAAGTAACTCGCTGACCCTATTCTTAAATTTATTGTGATGTATTATGTGGTCTCTGTGATATTGTAGTGGAAGCACTGACTTTGTGTCTTTGTTAGTTGTTACTGCAAACCCTAGTTTTGTAAAAGTTATTTCTTAGATATGTTGGCATATTGCTCTGAGTTTATTGCGAATTTGTGATCTATTTTGTGTCTCTGTGATAATGTGGTGGAAGCACTGACTATGGTTTCTATGATTCTCTGAATTGTGGACTGTGATTAAGTCAATCTGTTGAGAAGTTCCAGATTGTATATCACTTGTCCCTTGTCCCTTGTCCCTTGTTTGTGATGTTATGATACTTGATTATGGTTTCTATGATTCTTTGAATTGTGGACTGTGATTAAGTCAATCTGTTGAGAAGTTCCAGATTGTATATCACTTGTCCCTTGTCCCTTGTTTGTGATGTTATGATACTTGATTATGGTTTCTATGATTCTTTGAATTGTGGACTGTGATTAAGTCAATCTGTTGAGAAGTTCCAGATTGTATATCACTTGTCCCTTGTCCCTTGTGGTGGAAGCACTGACTGTTTTAACTAATAAGAGTCTGTTTAATTTGAGTGTTATAAACTTATAATGTCTCTTAAAGGCTTTAATTGGTGGAAGCCCCTTAGAAATTCAGTTAATGATGTTGATGAAATGAGCTGTTTTTATGTTAATTTGAGTGTTATAAACTTATAATGTCTCTTAAAGGCTTTAATTGGTGGAAGCCCCTTAGAAATTCAGTTAATGATGTTGATGAAATGAGCTGTTTTTATGTTATAACAGTCTCTGATTCATCTGGATATTTGAAATATATCCCTGAATCTGGATTTCTTTGTAAGTTTATGGATGTATTCCCTTAATTGTATTTGTATATTTGTAATTTTGTATTGAATAATGCCCTTTAATTAATTATGCATTCCTGTTTAATGATGACACAAAATGTGTCTGATTCTGGAATGCTTTTGAATCCTGTTGTGTGTACTGATAGTTCACCATTTTTAGATGGATAATATCAGTATGCTTGGTACTCCTGGTAGTCAACCTCCCAGCTCCTCAATTGATGGACCTTCAGGGGTGGAAGCCCAAACTGTTGAGAATCAACAGAATGAGCAACCTCCTACTGCTGTTCCAGCCAAGAAGAGGAAACAGGTTGCTTCCAGATCACCAGTGTGGGATCATTTTGAGGCAATAAAGGACACTAATAATGTGGTTGTAAAAGGCAAATGCATTTATTGTGCCAAAATTTACCACTGTGAGACAAAAAAACATGGGACTTCTTCCTTAAGAAATCACATGGTTAGCTGTTTGAAAAATCCTCACTCCAAGGAAACTAGGCAGTCCCTGTTAACATTTCAGGTTGTTACATCACTTACAGATGGTCAGCCTACTGTGGGAGAAATAGGGACTTGGGTTTTTAATCAAGAGTCAATAAGGAGGGCCTTGGTTGAAATGATAATCATAGATGAATTGCCTTTTAGGTTTGTGGAGGGAATAGGTTTCAGGAGGTTCATAGCTATTGCTTGCCCTAGGTTTATAGTTCCATCCAGGTGGACTATAAGTAGGGACATCCTAGTTGTCTATGATGAGGAGAGACTGAAATTGAAGCAATTTTTAAGGGGAAGCAGTCATAGGGTTAGTATCACTACAGATTCTTGGACATCCATCCAAGGAATTAACTACATGGTAGTTACTGCCCATTTCATTGATTCTGAGTGGAAGCTTCATAAGAAAATCCTTGCATTTGTCCCTGTTACTTCTCACAAAGGTGAATATCTAGCCAAAGCCCTAGAAAATTGTTTGCTTGAGTGGGGGCTTAGAGATGTGTTTTCTGTGACTGTTGATAATGCCTCATCAAATGACACTGCTATGGTTTTTCTGAAGAAAAAAATGTTGTCTTGGGGATCATCTACTGTGAGGACAAAGTATCTTCACATGAGATGTATTGCCCATATCTTAAACCTAGTAGTTCAAGATGGTCTTAAGGATTGTGATAGTTCAGTTAAGAAGGTTAGGGAGGTGGTTAGATATGTTAGAAACTCTCCTGCTAGACTCAAGAAGTTCAGGGATTTGGTTGATTGGTTGAGTATTGAACAAAGGTCTTCTTTGTGTTTAGATGTTCCAACCAGATGGAACTCTACCTATTTAATGTTGCAGTCTGCATTAACTTACCAAAAAGTGTTTGAATCTTTGGAGTCTGATTGCTCTTTTAAGTCTGATTTGGGTAATTCAATTCCTGATTTTATGGACTGGGAATCTGTTGGCAGTCTGGTTCATTTGCTGAAGTGTTTTTATGACATGACCATTAGAATTTCTGGTTCTTTATATGTCACCTCAAACACTTTCTTTACTGAGATTTCTGATCTGTACTGCCTATTGAAAGGCATGGTGGAAGTTGGTGGGCCAGTTGGTGTGATGGGGAAAAATATGAAGGCAAAATTTGAAAAGTATTGGGGTGATGTGGAAAAAATGAATCTAATGATATTTTTTGCAAACATTCTAGACCCTAGAGACAAGTTAGAGTATATGCCTACTCAGTTTAATCATATGTATGGTGAGGAAAAGGGTCAAAAATTCTATGACAAAGTAGTTGCTGGTCTTGCTGAGTTATTTGATGATTATTCTACATATGCCTCTTCTTCTGTCCCTTCTATGCCTGTCCCTTCTGTGCCTGTGTCTGTACAGCCTACATCTGCCTCTTCTGTTTCTGTTGGGAAGCCACAACATTTTCTGAAGTCCCAAATTAAAAAGCAAAGATTGGAGTCTGGGGGTAAGAAACAAACTGAGTTGGATATGTACTTGAGTGAGGGAATAGTTGAAGAGGAAGAATCTTTTGACATACTTGGATGGTGGAAGATCAACTCTGCTAGGTTTCCAGTTCTGTCTAAGCTTGCTAGGGATGTCCTAGCCATTCCAATCTCCACTGTAGCCTCAGAATCTGCCTTCAGTACATCTGGAAGAGTATTGGATCCTTTTAGGAGTTCTTTAACTCCAAAAATTGTGGAAGCATTGGTGTGTACACAAGATTGGCTTAGAAAGCAAAATACTCCTTTATGTATTGAGGAGAATCTGGAAGAGTTGGAGAGGTTTGAAAAAGGTATGACTTTGTAGTTTGAACATTATAATCCTTTATACTTATATTTTAAATTGCTTAAATTGTTAATACTTTTCTTGTTTATTTTGCAGAGTTAAGTGGTGATGGTGGAAGTGGGAGGTCTCTTGGTTCTACACTTGCTACAATTCCTGTAATGTTATTATTTACATTACTTGATTTTATTGATTCTAACTAAATTGCAATCTAATCTCACTTGCTATTTTTTGAGCCCACTGGACATCTCACATCTGTAAGTCTCAGACTCTGTAACTCTGTAAGTGTGAAGGCCTGGTAACTTGTACTAAGTTGCTGCCTCATGTACCTTGGGCATTTGGTAATGTATGGACTCTTTTATTCTGTCTGTTCACTTTAAGTTGGCAAGTTTGGCAATGATGAAGCTTCCACCTTCAATCTGAAAAGGAAAGGATTAAGTTGGTCAGTTGCTCTATACTTAAGGTATATTGAAGCAATAGGCCCTTAATCCAAATGATATGTAAAATATGCTTACTGAGCCAATATTTATATAATCCCTTCTCTGTTTTTCATTTTCTAATGCTTGCTCAGTTGCTTTACTTGTTTACTTGCTTGTGTACTAATTATCTACACTAACTTGCCACAATTCACAGGAAGAAGAATAACTACTCTAATTGTCTGAATTCTAAAAGTCTAGGAGTTGCTGAATGCTGAGTTGCTGATTTTGGGTGAATTTGTTTTTGTGGGGCTTCGGTTTAAAGTTTAAACAGTTATGTAAATTTGTATGTAGTAAGTAGTATACAAGCTAGTATGTATGTACTTCTGTAGTTTTTTTGGAGTCTTAGTCTCTTAGACTCTTAGTCTTAGCCACTTAAGAGTTAAGACTCTTAATGTTAGTTAATAGACTACTTAGTAATACTAATTACTAACTTAGTAACTTAGTATTACACTATTACTGGTATTAGTCTATTACACTATCATTCTATTAATTATTTACTTATTTATTCAGTATTATTCAGTATTTCAAACTTTCAGTTACTTATTATTTTGCTTTTGATTTTAATTTATGAATTTTTGATTTGATTTCAACAATTGTTAATATCCGAAATAATTTCGGATATCCGACCGACCCGACCAAACCCGAACTAGGATATAACCGACCGGATAAGTCAGCATTTTTAAACGGATAGGGTAGTCAAAATACAAAACCGAAATCCGAACGGATGCACCTATCTCTCACCCGATCCGTCCGAACCGTCCGAATGTACACGCCTATCAACGGTTGGTAAAAAGATATTTGAAAAAATTAGCTGTTTAGATTAACATGTAAAATGACCTAAGGGTATAATAATAATAATAATAATAATAATAATAATAATAATAATAATAATAATAATAATAATAATAATAATAATAATAATAATAATAATAATAATAATCCTATATATAATAAAGCTATATGGTCTTGTGAAAATTAAATGGTGATAATCAACATTTAATTTTCACAAGACCATAATAATATTGTTGTTAATTATAATAACAATAACAATAATAATAATAATAATAATAATAATAATAATAATAATAATAATAATAATAATAATAATTGCAATAATAATTGCAATAATAATAATGATAATAATGATAATAATGATAATAATTGCAATAATATATATATATATATATATATATATATATATATATATATATATATATATATATATATTTATTTATTTATTTATTTATTTATTTATTTATTTATTTATTTATTTATTTATATATATTTCAATTTCTACTGGCAAATTATTGTGTGAACGATTGTCCACATAATTGTATGGATCACGAATATCAAATACATTGTTAATATATTAAAAATACATTATTTTTCTATTGAAAGTACCTTACATACATATATAATGTACCCTTAGTATATTTAAAATATACTTTTTATTGCATGCAACCTCAAAGTTCATAAGTTTGAAATTACTATATGGCATAGCTAGGCGGCCTAATATTTAAGATTGTTGATGTGCATATTAAGGACTACGGAGACAAAGATGCGTTATTCGTCGATTCATCGGATACTATCCAACAACACTCTCCAACTTAATTGACGTGAAGTAGGCTTAGTAACATTAAGATTATATTCTCGAATTTTTAGTTCTCATCTTTTATTGATTACACACTTAATTCGATAGTATTTTGAAGAAAAAATCAATGTTTGAACTAAGATTGTGATTTTGGTCTTTAAAGGTCAATTGTATGTTGCTATATCTAGAGTTAGAAATCTCAAAGGTCTAAAAATTGTGATCCGTGGTGACTCTAAATTGTAATTCAATTACTATTGTAGTTTACTAAGTTCTTAAAAATTTGTAATATTAAATATTATCTACTAAATTTTTAATATAGTTTAAGATTTGTAGTAATCACCCACCTTAAATATTATTTTAATTGTAAATATATTTATGTTCATAATTTTATCATAGGAATTCACACATAATAATTATTAAATAACAAAAATTTTATATATAAATAAACCTCATATAGAGTATATTTTTATAACATATTTTCCGTGCATCGTACGGGACAAATACTAGTAGTAGTAATAATAATAATAATAATAATAATAATAATAATAATAATAATAATAATAATAATAATAATAATAATAATAATAATAATAATAATAATAATAATAATAATAATAATAATAATAATAATAATAATAATAATAATAATAATTACTCTATTTTACTCTTATTAAATTAAATAATAATTTAGTAGCTACAACAAAAAATAATACATATGCATTTCTTTAATTTAGAATTATGTGTCTACAATGTCTGTATTCAAAAAAAATTATTCATTATCAATAAATTAAATAAGAAAAATAATTTAATTAGTTATATTGTATTTATTTATTTTTCTCCAATATAAAAATTCTTTACATTCAAATCCATCAATTGATTATATTCGCTACATTGTCTCTACAATGTCTTTATTTAAAAAAAATATTCATTATCAATAAATTAATTAAGAGAAATAATTTTATTAGTTATATTGTTTTTATATTTCTCTAATGTAAAAATTCTTTACATTCAAATTCATCAATTGATTATATTCGCTACATTGTCTAATATCTTTTTTTGTGCACTATTTTTAAATTAAATATCAAAGTTATAATACAAAATAATGCTATATATTTATTTACCAACTATTTTATTAATACCATGAAAAAATTTTAAAAAATATAATTAATAAAGCCAATCATATTAACTACTTGAGGGATTTGTTGACAAAGAGAGTATTCAAATCACACAACAAATTGAAGTGAGAACTACCTCGCAATTTCCTTGTTTGACAATCAGCAGTTAGCGGTTAGCGTTAACGGATTATATTAGCGAATTTGACTAGCGAATTATATCAACAGTTGGCAAAAAGATATTTGAAAAAGCGAATTTGACCAGCGAATTATATCAACGGTTGGTAAAAAGATATTTGAAAAAATTAGCTGTTTAGATTAACATGTAAAATGACCTAAGGATATAATAATAATAATAATAATAATAATAATAATAATAATAATAATAATAATAATAATAATAATAATAATAATAATAATAATAATAATAATAATAATAATAATAATAACTAATATTATTATTATTATTATTATTATTATTATTATTGTTTTAAAAAAATAAAAAATATATATATAATTAAGCAATCATATTAACTACTTCGGGATTTTTTGACGAAAAGAGTAATCAAATCACACAACAAATTGAAGTGGAAACTATCTCGCAATGTCCTTGTTTGGCAATCAGCAGTTAGCTCTTCAATATTAGTATATATTTAATATTTTATGAGCTAATTTTTATTTGCTCTCCCTTATGTCCCGTATTTGGTTTCAACAATACCTATACAATTATTTTGTTGACAATTATAATCAATCTTGACTATATTATCTTGCATTTGTAAACTTAGAATTGCCTATTTAAATACGCAAATTTAACATTCAATTATCTATGTATGAACAATTCCAATAAAATCTTGTCTTGATATATATATATATATATATATATATATATATATATATATATATATATATATACCTTTTACTTAAGGAATTTAGATGCCTTATGGCTATATAGTCTAGTGAGAGTAACAACAAAAGAATCTATGGAGAAATGGTTAGATAAGGCCTGGTTTGGAACTGCAAATCCATTGAACTCACTAACCTTGACTGGCTTGTCTCCAATAATCCTGAGCTCAGTAATTGAGCCTCCCTCACATGCTGTTAAAGACCTGAAACATGTACTCTGCAACATGTCTTTTGCACTGGAATGAATGCAAGAGCAATCTGAGATTATTTTGCTAAGTTCCTAGGGCTTAATATTCAGATTAGTCTCCCTCACATGCAAAGCTCATATAAATCTAATTTTTTGAATAATAAAACATAAACTGATTATTCAACTTGACAATAGAAATTAAGGAATATATAAAATATCAAATATGCAACCACATTACTATTATGATTTGAATACTTTGCTCATTTTAGAACATAGAATAGTCTTTGGCTAACAATATTTTACCATGCAGATTAACTTCATTAGCAAAACAATTAAAATAAATAAAAGATGAAACTATGCATTGCACAAGTAAGAACTGTGTATATTTCTTAGTTTAATAGCTACATAGCAAGTGTTCCATGTACCTTCACCTGCCTTTGATTGTTTTCTAGCTCATCCCTATGGTCTAGCTCATCCCTATGGTTATTGAGGACTTCAGATGCTTTATATATGTACATCCAGAGGAAACTAACAATTTAGTTTCTTGCAAATGATGACAATAGAGTCTGATGCATTTTTAGAAACATCTCTATACATTTGTTTCCATACACATTGTAAAATATGTTATATGAATCTCTTCTCACCTATTTCATACTGTTTGGAGTGGATTTGATCCTTTGGTTTGTCTCATGTGGGCTTCTAGCTTTCTCTTGGGCATTATCTACCATTTTTTGAACTGTTAGATTGAATTTCTTGTACTGTATTTTTCTTTGTTTGCAATGATGTTAACAATTAAAAATGCAGGCAAATGATCAAGTTGAGTTTGATGAGCAGGGATAAAAGTCTAGCAATATAGTATATTAATTTTAAAAACATGAATGCTTCTTGTATTACTTACCTCTCCGTTTTATTTGGCTTAACTTGCTGCTACTTGATTACTTGTGGCATTCTTAGCTTTCCCTTTCTTAATTTAGTTGATCACAGTCTTACAGAAGCAACTGAAATCAAAAGAGAAACGAATTAATGGTTACATTTATGCAGAAAATGTCTCGACGTCAAAAGAGTAAATCGTTGATGTCCCAACCAACAGTATCTAATTCTGAACGAAATCAACTACCAAGTCCATCAAATAATGCCCCAAACTCCAGCCCACCATCAATTAGTTTCCCACAGTCCAGCCGAAATAGTGACTCAGAGCGTACTATATCAGCGTCACCAGATAATAGTCCATCACCTCCAACTTCACCAAGCAACAGGCCCACAATACACCCTGTTGGGAACAATTCGTAAGTTTTATATTGATAATTCTAATGTGTTAACCTTTATCTCTAACATATATAATATATAATTTGTTACAGGTTTGAACCATGCAAGGCGCATAGAGAAATTATCGACTGTGTTACTAAAATATTCCCTGATGCAATAAAGTCATACAGTGCAGCTCCTAGACATATGAAGGATGTTTGGTTTAATG